GCCTGCGCATCGCGCAGTCTGATCAGGATCCATGCTGTTATCGCTTACAGTCTGATCAGGATCCATGCTGTTCGCTTACAATCAAGTTGAGAAACTGATAGCGAACAACATGGATCCTGAGCAGACTGCGCGGATGCGCAGGCTGGTCTGGATCCATGCTGGTCGCAAACGCATTACGTTGGTTTTGTCATGGCGCGGCTCATTTATCTTCTAGAAACAGTAAAAATGCACAAAACCGTCAACATCTACCAATTATATAAAACATAATAATCTGTTTATCGACATATTATATGAAATGTGAAGATAAACGTTCAATTAGTATATCATGCGGAACCCTTGCGTCTCCAATTGTTATCTGATATATAACATGTATTAAGTGTTATATTTTTGAACGCTCGGTTATTTTCTGCCAAACCGTTTTTGTATGACAATATCGCCGCATCAGATTTAGATCTAGTTATTATACTATTTCATATTAACACTAATACAAATCAATGATTTATGGTTTATGTGTTTTTTGTTAAACAGATTCGATCATTCCAATGGTGAAATGGGTAAAATGTTACACTTTACTGTATTTTTAGTTTTTACACATTAAATCAGCTTCGTGTTTTCATACAAATAACAGAAATCTGAATTTGTGCTGCTTTAAAGGTTTAATGTACGGTAAAAATGCACGACTAAAATATTATCATTGCTGTGATTATGTATAATAAATAAATTTGCATCCATATCAATTTGAGGCTAACACAGATCTATATTAGGTACCGGGCTTTACAAACTCAATAAAGTAGATAATTTTGTTAAGATAAACTATGATAGGTCTATAAATGAGGGATGTTGCATGTTTTCATTATCCTTTATGTACAGACTAAACAACCCGAGTCTGCAATTTTCATGTAATTTTGTTGTGTTTAATGCTTCCGAAGAATCACACTTTATCAAGGTTTCAAATTAAAGTGCTAAAACAGACACAGTGACTGATATTTTCATCAAATAAAATGAACAATGCATCTTGTGACTTATTCTTAATATAGAAAAATAATCAAATTTTCTGAACAAAGTGCAATTATGCATGTATTACTACGCCCTTTGAATGACTAAAAATGTCAATAAATTACAACCTTTCAGGTTATCCACAACAAGAAAAAAACATGTTAAAAAGATAATGCAAGCTAGTATTGCCTACATAATATATAATGTGAAACCATATGGCTGGGCAGTTAAATGCTATACATGTTTTGATCGAAACCAGTTCGATGATTTTTCATATAATGTCTTCCTCTGTATTGCCTGAAGTAATTTTCAAGGCAATTTTGAACAAGTCTGAAATGTTTGTTCATAAATGGTACCATTAGATTTGCATATGCTTGAGCTCCTGTTTTATGGCCGTTTACAATATTCAGAACCGAGTAATCAGGTTTCTCCTGTTTATTGATCTCTTCTAAAGATTCTAACATTCTCTCTATTGAAGAAACAAACTGTTCACGTGTAAATTTGAAATCTTTGCCAACAAGAACGTTATGTGTTTTAATGAAAATACTGGATACGTTAATTCCGAATTTCCATCCCGGCATAAACATTCTTACCAATCTACTTGGTTCTATTTGTTCTTTCCTTTCAGCCTTGCTAATTTCATACAGCAAAGACGCTACGATGATTTTAAAGCAAACTGCCAGATTTGCGTTTTCCCGACAGTTAAAGTCATGCTTTATCACAAGCATTTTGAATGCATAAGACGGTATATATGAATATCCTCCTCCGCTGTTGAAGATGTATTTCAAAAGCTTGTAGCATTCTTTGTGATGATCGCTTAGGTTTCGGACAAGCTCGACCTCTGTCTCCGTAAATGTTATACGAAAGCAAAGGCCATCATCACATGCCGTTGACTCATTACACGGAATTAGCATATATCTACCGTGTCTTTCGAGCCTTTTCCATACTCCTGAATGAAATGTTTCATTCTCTGCAATCACATTTCCGTGTCGTGACATGTTTACTTCTATTGCCAAAGTCATATCAATAGTTATCGTCTCGGGCCTTCTCCGGGTTTTTGATTCCCATATAAATGTATGCATGAACGCTGGACCGTGATTAACAACATCCTTATCGACCCGTAGTGCACCCGTGTTTCTGCTGCATCTTATATCTCCTGAACTTTGAATGACTTTTACGACCTCTGACATAAATGCGTTTGACAGACTGTCGTTACAAGGATCAAAAAGGCTCTGAAAACGATGATCTTTTCTCCGCACTTTCCTTCCAACTGATCTAATAAAACCAACTAATTCAGTGATCTTTCCGAAAAAATCATGACTGAAAGATCCCTTCAGGTAGTCCCCGAGAAGAAAAGGTTCCCAAAGAGATCGAAGGCGCTGATCCAAAACTTTAACATGTGCATATCCTTCTCTTTCTTTTCCGCTGCAATCGCGTTTAACTTTCACCCCATCCTGATGAGTTACAATAAGAAAATCAAACTCATCGGGGTTAACTATGCTCGTTCTTTCTGCCATGCTTCCAACTTTAAGTATTCGGAGTTTGTCATATGGACCTAACCATTTTACATTATTTGCCACTCGCAAAACAATGTCATGTACAAGTGTCTCTACAGCAAGAACAATGTCTTTTGTTTCATCCGGGGGTATTTGAAACTTAATCTTATTGTTCAGTAAATCTCGGAAGAAGTACGTTAGTTTACAGTTCTTCTCTTCTTCAACGACAGACGAACACGCCATTTCGGAAGTGGATATTTTAGTAGCAGGTGCCTTACAGAAGATATGATCTTTTTCTTTCAAGACGTTGATACTTGATATGAAAAAGAATAATTAACTTAATTAAGATAAGAAAAAAACTTAATTAAGATACAAGCTATTAGAAATTACGAAAGCCTAATAGTGTCAAATAAAATTTAAAAAAGGCGTTATAACGAGAATAAAAGCGTTATTCATTGATTCTCCACGCAAATTAGAAAATATTCTGCCCCTCGAGTATATTTTGTTGCACTGCAGAAAAACACATTTTGGACATTCTTTTGCTTCATTACATAGTCATGTATGTAAAGCATTCAAATGAATGACTTTGTCTGTCGGATTTATACGAAAATATTATCATGCAGAGGTGCTGTATAACCCATTATGTAATGTCTCCAGGCTTGGGTCCCATATTACTGTCGGTTTTACATAATTTCACATGAAACATATGTTGAAGAAAAACCTCTTAAGTATTAAGTTTTAGTTTAAATGTCTAAGTGAGATATTTTTATTGTTTTCTACAGTGAATTTGGAAAAAAGTTACAAGCTGAAATGCATTTACCTCATATATTTAACAGATACGTTACCACACTTCAGGTAAACCTGAGTAAGAGTAATATGAGCTCGTAACATATTAATAGTGTGCTATTGAACTCAAGTTTTATCATATTTCATTATTCAAAAATAATTTTGACTACAATATACATGCTAGAACCACAATGACCTCGCAATGCTGAGACAATTTAGATTATACTTTAAAGTTAAACAGATACGTTACCATGATATCCCACTGAGAAACATTTACTATTACCAGCACTTAAAAGTAGGATCGCATTTATGCATTATTCAAATATATGCTTTAGAAAACTTAATATTTTAATATATTTGGCAAACATGTGTGTACATCTGATATATTTTAGGTTTTTTACCAACAGATACGTTACCAACAGATACGTCACCAATATTTATTGTTTGAATCTTAATTGATGATTTTGCTAAGTTTTGAAATGGCTTCATGTAAAAAATCACAGCACAACGTTCGTGTAGCCGATAAATGATGCTTTGATCTCGATTTTATTGGAAAACTGAAAATGTGAATCAGGAATTTGAAATTCAAGGATAAGTTGAGTTTTCTAGACAATAAAATTTTGAAAAACAGGAAAGAAACATATAAAGATTTACCGATTTATTTCCTGGAATAAAAATATGTTGATATCTTTTTGGTTTGCAAACTTTGTATTAAAAATAAAATGTAGATGACTGTATAACGTCTGGTAACGTATCTGTTTATCATAGTAACGTATCTGTTTTGAAAGAGATTTGAGTACTGTTTAATATAATATTATATAACTAAATCTTCAACAAGACTTTGGTTTAAATAAGTAATATATGGTTAGGCAATATATAACATCACTGTAACTTAATGGAAAAAAAAAACATATTAAAGTATTTTTAAATGAATTCCCATTAGTTTCTAAATTTTAGTCAGGGTTGTATCAAGATTTTCTGTCTATAGTAGGGATGGACTAATTGTATATAGCTCAAAATCTTGGAGGTGCACATATATATGGATTGATTATTAATAAGTTGGTTTTCTTTAATTCAGCGGTACCATTGTTTCTGATATAATTTTGTTAAATGTAGATAAGCATATACATGTAGGCTCACTCATATTACCAAGTATGGCAAAATAAAGGATCGAGATTGTACCAGTATATAAAGAAAAAGTATATAGAAAAAATAAAGATAATTGAACAGCAGATGAACCAAAAAGACAAACGAAATACAGAATGTCAATTCACACTATGAAACACTCATTAATCTAGCTGTTACATATTCTAATAGATGAGTGTCTTTATTTAAATGTTCTTGTTAAGTTCAATATGTTTCTTTAAGTCACAATGTTATTTTACTATTTGAAGCTAAAAATAAAACAATAAAACCTAAAAGAAAACTGTAAATGATATTGTGTGTTCTTTTTAATATTAAGTTGTTTAAAAAAACTTTACGAATATCTATCTACGTGTTCAGGGTTTTTCATAACTTTGTTCATAGTATAACGGTGAAACAGATACGTATCTATGATTTAATATTCGTTTCCACTTAGTGGAATGAATTTATATTGTTAAGTAAATCCGAGCTACATTGTGTCAATAGATAAGTATGGATCATCAGTATTTTTATTGGCCTAAAATGGTTTTATAAGTAAATCATGTATTTGGAATAAACAAGTCTGATTTATAAGTAACATTTTCATCAGCTTCAGTTCACAAGCTATTCATAGACGTAGATTTTTTATAATAATATTGATGCATAATATTTTTTATCACACACCCGTGCCGATTTTGCGACTCCGTAAATATGGTATTGCACGGCCGTGCATATATTTTGACGTGACGTCATTAGCGTTATACAAACATAGTGTAAAGACGCGCTAAATGTTAGCGTTATACTATAGTCGCGACAATGAAAAATGACTCTTATTTCACTTTAAACGGTCTTTGTTTTGGGTTATGCGATAAATAGAATATTAAATTCGTGTAATTTCAATACTGAATTTATTGCACTCGTTGAATAAAATAATATTATGCTCGCCAGAGGCTCGCATAATATAATTTTATTCAACTCGTGCAATAAATTCAGTATTGAACTTACACTCATTCAATATCCTCTATGTAATATATACTGGTCCTATATTGTTGAAAGAATAATAAATTTCTAAATAGTGTATATTCATGCTAATTATTTTTATCTAGTCTCTGAAAGCAGTTGGAAACATGGTAACGTATCTGTTTTTGCACAAATCTCGAGTTCTTGGTAACTTTTTTTCAGGAAATATTACAAGTTTTTTTGGTGAAATGTTAAAAGAACCAGTATGTGTTCAATGTTATACATGAGTTAAACTAACAAAAAAATGTGTCTTGGTCACTATTCGCAAATGCCAATTATTCACTATTACTTACACCCTAACTTGAATGTTTAGTGGAGAATCAATGTATTACGCGAAACAAAAGGCGTAATTACGTGGAACAAAGGCGTAATAACGTGAAAAAAGTGAAGCAACGCAAATAAAGGCGAAGTAACGCGAATATAGGCGTTATAACGCGATTTGAAAGGCATAATTACGCGAATCAAAAGGCGTAATTAATATCGCGAATAAAGGAGTTATAAAACGAATCAAATGCGTATTAATACACTTGTTACTATATATAGTAACAAAATTGCCTGTGATTTCAACTGACTATGAGTGTCACGTGACCTATTATGAGTTTGCGGCCCGGGGCCGAGAACTAGTTATCAGCCCGCAGAACAAGTGCACGTTCACAAACTGAAAAAATGACGTCATATTTTACGTCATCAAACAGTTTACTGTAAAAGTGAAAGTAGGTTGTCAGCACGAATCGCTTTATTTTTATTATGAGAGCTTAACCGTATTTAGTACAAACATATTTTTGTTACTATTGAAATTTGAAGAAATAATACGACAAATTCATTCCGAAAAAAAAATGAAAATAAAACTTGCTTCTAGATTCTACTGCTTTGAACACACAAACAGTAGACTCTAAACATCTCTGTACAGAACAGTAGAAGAGTACTGTAGACAAGAATTTCAACGAAAGAACTTCAAAGTATTTGTTGTTTTTTTTGTTGGTTTTTTTGTTGTTTTTTTTAAATGCTACTATTAGATCTACCAAGTGTATTAAAGACATTAATACACGTCAGAGTAGGGCCGGAAGGTGATAATCGGCCCTGAATGAATAATGGCCCTCGGGCTAAAGCCCTCGGGTCCATTATTCATTTTGCGGGCCGATTATCACCTTCCGGCCCTCTCCTGCCGTGTATTAACCTCTTAATAACGCGAATCTAGGCAATATAACGCGAATCAAAAGGCGTAATAACGCCTGTATTCGCGTTATAACGCGAAACAAAGGCGTAATAACGCGAATCAAAAGGAGTAGTGACGCGAATAAAGGCGTAGTGACGCTAACCAAAAGGCTTTATAACGCAAATTAAAACGCCATATAATGCAAATGTTATATAATATCATTACTAATCAAATGACCTAGTTACTTTAGGAAGGAAGAACAATATTGATCGGAATTTATTGCTCAAGATATAAACTCGTATGGAATAATATAATATACATTTACAATAACTATCATTCCATTTACGCAGTAATAATGCAAACTTTTTTGTCATAAACTAACTATTTGATATTTGTCAATTTAATGTGGCTTGGAGACTTATAGGTCCATTGGGCTGTATGTCAAAACAGTTACTCTGAATTCACATGCATCACATCATTGATTTTACATATGTCACTATAGTAAATCAATTTATTTTCTTTATTTTGTTATCTTATATTATCTTATTTCGCCTTTTTATTACACCTTTGATTGTTGTTATAACGCCTTTTTTCGCGTTATTACGTCTTTTGATTTGCGTAATTATGCCTTTCAATTCGCGTTATAACACCTCTGTTTGCGTTACTTGCCTTTATTACATGCTTTTCGGTGGTTTATATAAATATATCAGTGAAATAAAACTGGTAATTTCACTGTTTGAAACAGTGAAATTACCACTTTGATAATTTCACTGTTTTGAATTTAAGCCCCTTACGTTGTTTCAGTGAAACACCAGCGTGCACAGTACTGGGTACCAACTTAATGACGTGACGTCGTAAATGACGTCACGTTGTATTATTATTTGGCGCGCTTTACATTCAGTATTAGGTTAAATGTCTTTTTAAAACGTTCCTTTGCATATAATAAAAAGAAAATTTGTTTAGTTTAGTGTAAGATCGAAATATATTTCACCTTGTGAACACCAAAAGTTCATATTTCACTCGTGGCTGCGCCACTCGGGAAATATACCTTTTGGTGCTCACTCGGTGAAATATATTTCGATCTTTCACTGAACTAAACAGATATCCTCTATTTATTTGCGTTGCTACGCCTTTTGATTCGCGTAATAACGCCTTTATTCGCGTTATAACACCTTTGATTTTTTTTTTATTTGACACTAGATCTATTAGGCTTTTGAAAGAAAAAAATCTATAACAGAAACGAAAACTGAGACATGAGCGTGAAAGATTTGATTTGAAATTCAAGTTATTTTTATAACTTGTCAAATTCAATTATTCCTATCTCTATACTTACCAAAATAATATACAAGCACACTAGTCAAGTATGCATTGTTAAAAAAACTTTAATTTGGTAATACATAAAAATGTTTAGATAAGACGGGTTATCTATTTTTATTGTAGATTAAATATTGACGTTTCTACGATTAATAGCTGTCCTTACAGTCTAAAGGTATAAATTTTGGCTAAAATATTTTGTTGCATACTTTCTAAAGTATGTTCGTAATTCAAAGTTTCGAGTATTTATATAGCACATTGCATTAAAATATTAAAACATAACAACATCTTATTTTGACAAATTTCTATTTCGGAACTCAAATGCAGTAGAGCAACGATCCAATTGATTCTAATTGTTTTTCTTTTAAATTCTGTACAGTTCATGTATGTAAAATCCCCATTGAATTAACTAGGTAATCTTAACTTATTTTAGTTTATTAAGCACGTTCGTTTTTGAAAGGGTTTTGTATTGTGCACAATTTAGATGCCTTATTGTTCCATTTTCTTTTTGTTTTAAGAATAATATCTTAGGTACTACAATACTAGATAACCAAATTAGTTTATTAGTATAGGTAAAAGTTTATTAGTACGTATTTACGAAATGAAATTGGTCAGGCAAGGCTTGGCCGCAGTATAAGTTTATCTTTAGTTTAAATCGGCTTATGGTCGCTAAACCTCATTAAATGCCCCAACAGGTTCAATAAACGAGAAATTTGTGTAAATAATATAAACTTTAAAACGAATACCCACCAAGGGAAATTTGGAAATTCTAGCAGTAACTGTTGTTAAGGTTACAAAAGGTGAAATATGTAAAACACAAAAGTGATCATGTAAAAAGAAACATAACAAAGGTACCATATACCTTACTAGGTTCTCTACGTGGCACAGAGGTGACATTTGTGCATTTTTATTTATCTCGTGGCCATGAGTTACTAAGTCGTGAGCACGAGATATTAAGTGGTGCGCAGACATACTATTTCGTGGCCACGAGTAACTAAGTCGTGCGCACGAGACAATTAAGTCTTTTATTAGCTACTATGTCATGGCAAAGAGTTACTAAGTCATGTGCATGAGATATAAGTCGTGGACAAGAGTAACTCAGTTGTGCGCATGAGATACTATGTCGTGGCCACGAGTTATTTAGTCGTGGGAACGAGATAATTAAGTGGTTTGCACGAGTTACCATGTCGTAAACACGAGTTACTTAGTCGTGCACACGAGATAAATAACACTTTATATTTGAATTGTTTTAGTTAACTAGAAATGTGCCAATTCTGCCCATACTTCACCTGCCTGTCACAGTGCCATGTATAAAAATTATTGACTGGACAATGATTTTACATTTAGCATCATTGTAACCCTTATTTTTGAATCAATGCCCTCAAAATTATCAAGTGCCAGCTACTGATCATGTGCAATGTACATACTAGGTTATTTAAACTATGGCTATTTTCCTCTCTAGTTTATCAGACATGGATTTTACATGAAGTGTCATGGTAACCTTGACCTTTGACCTATTACCTCAAACACCTCAGAAGGTCATCTACTGGCCATGGGCAATGTCTCTACCAAATAAAATAAACCAGGGCTTATTCCCTCTCAAGTTATCGTATGAACAAGGTTAACAGGCCGTTAGTATGTACATACTGATCAATCCTATCAACAAAAGGCCATATCTTAGTCAAAATTAAAGTCTGATCTATTGGCCTTGGCTGGAGATCACTTAACATGATCCTTAAGACATGTATCAAGTTTAATGTGACTTAGTAACTCGTGACCACGACATATATATAAATATACGCCCACACATGTCATATCTGTGCCACCGTAGTTCTCACTAAGCATTTGGAATGCCTTGGTCCTAGCTTGTAATAAAACGTTCAGTAGTTTTAGAAAAGACAGCAACCACCACCTCCACACAAACACAATAAAAAATATAAAAAAGGAAGAAAAAGAAAATAACCAGGTTCCAAGATTTCACGAAATTTGTATATCATGTCTCCAAAGAAATCAGACTTGCTCATCAATAGCCGTAAAAGTATTCTCAAGTCGCTATTGACTCGAAATTACTATTACAACATTTTGTAAAACATTTGTGTAGTTTATGATAGCGGTAGCTCTGTTTTATTCATACAATCATTTAATCATTTACTTAAAAAGAAATAATTGTTTTATTTCATTTATAACAACAAAAACCCCAAAAACATGCATATCGGCCATATTCGCCATTTATGAATGATACAGACGGGTGACCTTCTAATTGGCCTTCTCCAGGCTCCAGTCTTCAATAGTCACTAGTCTCAAAAGACCTTCTATTGATCGGTTCTTGTCAAATATAGTCTCGATACAACGTTTTTTTCCAACAATTTAGAAAAGAGTTAATAAAATGTCTTTAAATCATTAAAAATGTTCCCGCAGGTAATCATTTTAACTGGTTAGAAAGTTATTCTTTTATAGTCACATGTAAGCACATTTATAATGGAATGCTTAGAACTCTGACATTGGCTTGAATTTGTAATGAATCCTGTCTATAACAGTAACTTGATTATTGACACATATTTACTAGTTTTAGTTTCACTAAAGTACTGTAATGTTTATAATTCCCGAAGGACAAACGTAAGAATGAAATTTACAAGTAAAATCTTTGCCGATAAAAAGTTATTTTGATGTGCAATATATACAGTATACATATTCAAAATTTGTTTATTCTGAATTATATTGTTTTAAAAATACCCCTTAAACTAATCATATTCGCATTTACTAACATATGTACTAATAACAACGATTCAGAATTAAACAAATATTACCTGAAGACAGCAAATATTTCCGCAGATTTTAACAAATATGTCAAAACATAATGTTAGTAAGGTTTGCGATGATCTAAGTTTTGCTTATGATTAAATCACTTTCTAAATATAGTAAAATATATTTTTAGATTTACAGGATAAGATAAGAGCCATACAAGTCATCAAGTATATTCACAACATAGAATTTACAAATAATTACTTTAAATCTCATAGTTTAAATAGTACAAAAATAGTACAAACATCACCTTTATCATTGTACTATGATATTTTAGTTATATTAATCATTTTTTTCATGAATACATTTCAAGGAAATTATTACACGTTTTTCGACTTTTTTACCATATATCATAATTATCCGAAAATATTTCTACATTTTATGATAAGAGTGATTGTCTTGTTTACTTAATATAAATTGCTGAATTACAAAAAAAAAAACAAAAAAAACAAAAAAAAAACAACAAAACAACAGAAGTATTTTAATGATAAAAAGTTTCAAACAAAGTTTTAGTCACATATTGATATTTCAAAAAAAAGCAGATAACGTAAGAGTAGGAATCCCAATTATCATATCGCCTAAGTTGTCAAGGAATGTTACGTACATATCATACCCCCTGCGTTGTCCCTAACATCAGTGTAAAGGAATGTTACGTACATTGTTTGTTTAACTTATGATAACATGAAAATGGCCATGGTTATCTGCACTTGCCAAATCCTTCATAATTTGAAGTAAAATACAATTTACTTGAAGCTAATCCCGCATTGTCAATAATTGTTTTATTTTATTCCCATTTACAAATTAACGTTTACAAACGTGTTTGGTGTTGATGTTAGTCGTATATTAGTGCTATAGTTTATATATCATTTTCACATTACCTCGATGGAATAAATATTTCCAAAATTTTAAGTTATGTCATAAAAATTCTTTCATTTATCTATATTTCTATTAAAATGACAATATGCCCATTCAAATGCAAATGGTAAGTGCACAGGTCAAAGTTAAAATAATTTGTCATAACGTTACATACATTGTTTGTGTTAACCTTATGATTACATGAAATGACCATGCTTATCTGCACTTGTACTAAATTAAAGGCCATATCCTTCCCTTTGAAGCTAGTGCCGCATTATCGATAATATTGTTTAATTTTATTCACATTGTAACGACCAAGCGCCAAGCTCATTGATAATTTTCGAATAAGAAATTTTATCCGACTACTACAACACTATGAACACCGGTCTCCGTATTAATGGCAACATGAATCAATACCTTTTACATAATATGTAATTATGTCACTGTACTTGATGCGTAAAATTTTACAGACCAATGTCATTTTATATCCATAAGATATTTAATATTCTACGTGAGAAAAACGTTGAATTTATCAGTTAGTTTCCCGGCTGCAGCGATTCCAAATGTAGGCTACATAACGGACTTTATTGTTCGTGCATGATGTCCGAACAGCGCCGGCTGAAGCTATTGCGAATATAGCAGACTTATTCGTTCACAGAGCCGACTCGGGGTAAATTTATGCACTGACGTCATCGGCTATATGACGTAGATCTGACCCCTGATACTGTAAATACCCCGGCGCGTGCGTTCCGGCGGTCAGTGTCTGGATAGAACTTTGAACGGTAAACAAAGCCGTTTACAGACTAAGAAATACTAATAACACCTTACACCAAGGTAATATAATTATATTTGACAGTTTTATTGTGCCTGATTTATTAGCCTCAGATAATTTTAGATTTCAAGACATCTTATTCAAGTGTATTGTTTTAATGTGACATATATAGAGAAATGCCTGATACCAGCTCCCATGTTGACTCACAGAAATGTTTATAAATATCATTTGGAATGTATCGTTAATGGTCAATCCATAAAAATAGTTGAACAGTCTTTTTATGTTAAAAACGACAGTTGTTTAATTTTATCCTAAACATTTTTCATTATCTATTATTGGTCAACGATTTTTATAGTAGCCAATTGAGCTCAACTTGATAGCGAAAATAAAGAGCATAATGTCATAATAAGTAATATGAAAAGTAAGATGAACAAGGGTAGGCGACATCAAATGAACACTTCCCTAATCAGACTGTCATAGCGAGTTCTCAAATAAATCAAATACAAGAAAAGCATTGATGCAAAGCATCAAAGGGCGTCCAAGCAAGAAATGCAGAAAGTGAAGATGAACTAGTAGACATATGATGTCAAGATATTCTTAAAAACTTTTCAATGGTTAATTGGTTCTTACCAGAATGAACGGACGGAAGACATTGTTCATTATGAACTTTGATTGGCATGCTAGAGATTAGAATATTACTTGTTACTTCTTTATGATCGTGATTATTAATAGCAACGGATATACATGTAAACAATCATTTATAATCCATATGTGTAACGCATGATCAACACCACACTTGTTGAATTGTCCCTTATTATGTAATCGCTATTAGCGAAGACCCCCTCTTAAGGTATCTGTTCACACTTAGTAAAAATATGACACTGGTTATATAACCATGTCATGTTGAGCATTATTGTTTATTATACAATAATTGTAATATCTATTTTAATAACAAAAATACAGATTTTATGAATATTGTTTTCCTCTCTTTTTTGTTTGTTTTTATGTGCTATTTTGATACTGAGTTTTTTACGTTTACTACTCTGTTTTTATTAAAATTGTAAAATAAATTTTAAGAATTCAATTGTCATATTGACCGACGATTATAAGTCAAAACTTAACTGGAAATAGTCAGTAAATTATGGTTAATCTTTCAATATATAATATTGTTATTCTTAAACCATGTACATGTACATTTGTATTTTTCTTTATCATTTTTTAAATTATCAATCAATTAAATAATTAATAAAATCTAATTTGTAACTTTGAATAATTCCTCGGCATCTTTACTAAACACGAATAACAAATTAAATAAAATGTTTCAAAGTTGATAGTGTCATATTAAAACCATAAAAATGTACCTTTTTTTCTCAATTATTGTACATATTTATTGTTTTTATCTCATATAGATAAAATGAAACATGCTATTGTTGCTGTTGTTTTTTTTTAATTGTATGTTTATGTATAATAATAATCAATAAATTTGAGAGTTGATCTATGTTTATTAATTATTGTAACCAAACTAAGTGACAAACATTCATTTTGGAAAAAAGCTTATTTATCTGTAAAATATTTGTTCTGTTCTGTAACGATATCAAAATTCTACTCCAAAACCGGGAGAGACCGGACAATAAACGTGTGGTCACTAGTATCCCTGTCAAAATAGACCGGGAGAGACCGGAATTACCGATAGGAGTACATCCCTCTATAAATAGATTTTCGGAATATTTAGGTCATCAACTCATCATTCTATTTTAACATACCATGATAACCCACTGTGTACTACAAAATGATAAATAAAAAAACCGAGGAGACGGAAAAGGTTATTGCATTTGAAAATGTTTGCATTGCGAAATCCTCCAGTTCGCTATTCATTGTACATATCGCGACATTTCATTTTTAATTAATAATAATCAAGCACCCTCATACCGATCGGAATGATCGGCTTTTATTATGACCGACTATAAGGCTCGAGAAGTTGCTGTTGCCCTTTCACAAAATCTGATTTCATTCCATAAAGGGGCGCCGCGCTTCGGCGCGGACGCCAATTACCCGATTGAAAACAAATAGAGCCGCGTCACGACAAAACCAACATAATGGGTAGGCATCCAGACCAGACTGCGCATCCGCGCAGTTTGATCAGGATCCATGCTGTTCCCTTACAGACCCTATAACAAGTAGAGAAACTGATAGTGAGCAGCATGGATCCTGATTAGACTGCCAAATGCGCAGGCTGGTCTGGGTCCATGCTGGTCGCAAACGCACTATGCTGGTTTTGTCGTGACGCGGCTCAATATAATCACAGTTTAAATCCTCCATGTTTTATATCTCTGTCGATTTGCTTAGTTAGTAACGAAGGAATTCATTCACATATTTCAGTTTTACTATAAGAAGTAATATATACCTAAATGTTACGAAGAATAATAATATTTGATTCACGGATAACTTTCAAATCTAACAAAATATATGTTTTATATGTTAAGGTAAAGGAAAACACATCTCACTTTTTGTGGATAACTACTATGCCCTTATATTTGGCATATGGCATTGCCTAGTAGACCTCTTCGAAAGTGTTTACTTATTAATCATGCACCAAGGGTAAATATATAACCCCACCTTAGAAGTCATATATTATCATTGGGATAATTAAGATAAAACGTTTTTTAAGAAAAGTTTCTTGATTGGGTCTCTCCCTAATTGAAACATTATTTTTAATTACTCATTTTATATTACTCTTACATTCGTGCGTATATTGCACCGCATTTGCAACGTTTATTTTTCAATATATTTTCAATACAATTAAAAGTCAATCAATAAAAGAATGAACTTATAATATTCTAAAATTTTGATTTTTACTATGTTTTATATTGCGTTGTCTTTTCTCTTTGGTACGTGTGTTTTTACGAAACTCAAGTTGAAACTGAGTTATTCTGGAAGTTTTTGTCTATGTATACGGTTTCAGAGTGTCCAGACATATATCCGTTGTATAATTCAATGTAACAACAAAAAACAAACAACATGCTTGTCAAAAAAAAAAAACAAACAAAAAAACACAAACAACAACAAAAAATGTATTAAGTAAGTAAATAGTAAGAGTAAGATGTTCTGCACAAGAATTAAAAGCATTTATTAAGTAAGAATTAAATGTATAGGTATGATATTTTATTGACAAATAGTGTTGGTGTGATATATTGTTGACATTAGAATAGTTAAACAAAATACAATAGATGCCTGCAACATGTACACAAATGAATTTCTCTTACTGACGAATGTTATAAGCAATCTATAAACTGTAATTTCTGAATTTTTGACCTTAAGTTTCCAAGTGTAATGCACCAATATGATTTATTATTTCCCGATCAATATAGAGTCAATGCTTAAAGCTTTACCGTTTTCTTCCATATGACCTGAAATAATTGTCAAGGCAGTTTTGACACAGTCTGAAGTCTCTTCTCATGAATGGTACCATTAGATTTGCATATGCTCGAGCCCTTGTTTT